CCACTTTCGTGCGAGCTCTCCGCATCCAATGAAAGTAATTTATTAGCGTCAGAATGTTTACCTTGCTGTTTACTTTTGCGGGGTCTCGGGCGATTGAGTTGTTGCCGTGGGTTATTGAAACAACTTCCAGACATACCGCCGCCGCCGCGTGCTTATTTAAGAAGCGCGCCCTACCCAATCGATTAACACCAATTAAAGGCAATATTTCAATATTAGCACCCTAAACCGTCTTCTTTAAGAGTCTGTATGCACAAGCACGCCTACTATAAATGCGTGGGTACAAAGTGAATTACAGTCAACATGAATACGTTCTAATTGTAACTAGAAGAGCAATATTACAACTCAGTGAATTTTTTAGCTAGGAATGAATATCTGGTGATTTATGGTGTACATCCTTAAAGAATTACGGTTGTTTACTATGGAATTACGGAGTTGACGCGAATATACGGTAATGTATGGTAAATTATCGAAGATTTACGATAATTTATCAATGATTACATCATCATCATCATAATCATAAGGTCGTCAGTCCTAAGATTAGTTGGACACACACTTCCACTCTTTCCTATGCTGAGCTAATTTTCGCATTTCCCTAATTCCCTAAAACTAGAACAACCCACATCCTTAACTATTTGCGAACGGTAGTCTAATCTAGGTCTACATCTACCCCTCCTAACTCCCGTTTCTGCCTCTAATATGTCTCTAAATAAACCTTCATGCCTGAGAAGGTGTCCTACTAACCTATCTCGCCTATTCTTTATTGACTTCCATGGAGTCCTCTGTTCTCCTATTCTTTCTAATACCTCTTAATTTCTAACCTTCTCTATCTACCGTATCCTCATCGTTCGCCAGTAACACCACATTTCGAATGCTTCTAACCTATTTTTTCCGCACCCACTGTCCATGTTTCGCACCCGTACAACGCCGCGCTCCAAACATACACCTATAACTATCTTTTTCGAATTTCTAAATTAACTGTTCGCGAGCATATAAGTGACTTCTTTTTATTGAATGCGATTCCGTCCTGACTTATCTGACTTCCTAGATACCTAAAATCGGCCACTTCTTCTAATTTTTCGTCTCCTACCTTTATATTCGCTCTTTCCTTACTTTTTCTTCGCTTACATACCAATATTTTTGTTTTACTTTAATGATTTACAAAGAATTTAAATTAGCTACTTATATATAGCGCTTACACGTAACATATGCAACCCTTAACTAATATATTTTACTTATGCTACCCCAAATTCCGGCAGCATAGCGAATCGAATATTATTTTACCCTTGCTTTTAGTTGTGCCGTGTAAATTAAACCATCTCTAAACCGACATCCGCAACCCTCCACTTCTAGAAATAACTAAAAAAACTAAAATCAAAAATTGTGTTTGTTAACCAAAAAATTTTAAATTAGTACAGTTCTAAGAAGGTACGTAACTTGGAAGCTGTATGAAATTTTGATATGTTTAGAAGTGAAGGATTTCTGATAACGTTCACTCGGCCAAAGCGTTTATTTTTCTTTCTCAAAGAACAAGGATCAATAAGACCCAATTTCCGCCTCAAAATAAGGAAAATTTATATTAGAAAAATTGATGTACCTACTAGTTGAACCCGTTCAAATTTGAACGATAAACAACATTGCCTGTGGTGCATAGAACTTCACACATGCTATTTAGGAACCCCTTTGGTCAGATAAGACCTTCAGGGTAAAATATACCAGTCAAAGTGAATACGTCCAATTTATTGCAATTGCTGAATTTTAATTCAACAAAAGCACCTTGGATTTCGACAATAGGTCTAAGGAATTCTTCCATTTTATAATTAGTAACAATAATAATCATCTAACGGAATCGCATGGTTAGTAAAGCTGCGTGATTAAGGTAAAAAAAACCAGAAGTTGCAATCGGAAGCCAGCCCTGGGCGTGAATACCGTTGCGAACGTCGCCTTCCCAATTTGACTCAACTGTGTTTTAGATTTTCTTTACGTATTTCTTCATGTTTCATCGTTTTTAGAGGGTAATTTTGTTTCATAACATTGACAAACATTTTCGGTAGCTGCTTTAGAATAAAAAGCTAAGTACACAGGTAGGTTTCAGAGAAAATAATGCAAGTTTCATGTATGTAAAAGGATGTAACAAACCGGTAAACGTATGAAAAAGTTTATAATAATATTCTGACAGCGTTCTAGTTCGTTCAAAAATGAACGTATTGTGAGCCAACGGGGAAATAATATTTACGGCACACCACACAAATCGCAGTCTGTTCGATTCTATTGAGATGCATTATTCCTCATACCCTGGGACATGTCTTACTTCCACATCCAAGCAAATAACTAACAAGATTGACAATCTGGTGCGAATATCTATGCAGGAATATACTTTCGTGTATCATATGATAAACAATAAAGGCTAAAGGTTCATTTTCACTACGTAAAATAAACATTTCAGATTAGGGAGAAATCAAAAAGAAACTTTTAGGTTTTTCCATAAAATTAATATCTTGCGGCGAGGGGATAGGATAACCTTTCCTCACAATAGTCTAACCTACTGAATTACATATATATATANTCAGCAATTTCTTATGCTAAAGTGTACGATGTTACATACCTATTTACAAACAATTCCTTTAAATTTTAATCATTATTTATTCATTTATTAAAAAACCATAATGGCCGACATAAGTGACAATGCCACAACAATTGAAAAAGAATGATGGCCGACAACAGCAACAATTAGAAAAGAATGATGGCCGACAACAGCAACAATTGAAAAAGAATGATGGCCGACACTACGTCACAGTGGAGCAATAAAAATGGTCGGCTATTGACAATACGAATAAACGTAGAACTAAAATCGTTTTTTATTATATATATAAAAAAATTATGAGTGCTGTTAGCACAGGACAAAGTCCAACTTTTGCTCTCTAACTATTGCTATCACTGATGTCAATGCTTTAAAGAGCATGAATATAAAAATTACAATCAAAACGTTTCTCAAACAATTTTCAACACAAAGAAAGTGAATTTCGACCACTCGAAGCAATGATGCTAACAGTTTCGAGCTCACAGTGACTGATAGGGGGGAAGAACTAGTATATGATAAATTAAAGAATTTTTTAATTATCTAAATCCCCCTCCTCATTCCCCACGCCTATCAAGTCGTAGGTGACTTAAAAATAGTAAAATTTTATAAAATAACTTGAAAATTGATTTTGTCTTCTTTTTGTTTTTGTATTCCCTCCCACTGAGGGATGTTTTTATATCCCCCCTCTTCTATTCCGCCACCCCTCTTCTATCACCTCCTTTTTTCTATCATTCATCGACAAAACTGGAGAATGATATAGGTAGGTATATTATTTAATTGATTCAGTTTTAATTAAAATAGAAATACAACTGTATTGTGAGTAAGTGAGCTATACGGAGCTGTACTGACACTTTTAACAATCCTTTTCGAATTTCTTTTAGATACAATTATTCCACCTTTAGTTTATATCTCCACTGCTTGTATTATTTTGTTAAATGAACGTTGTTTGTTGTTTACTGTTTTTGATGTTTTTGGCGACATGACCTTATTCGGCGTTTTAGCGGTAATTTAATTCGTTTAAATTTTAATTTCTTTTTCCTCTTGATTATCACGTTTCTGATTAAAATGGATATAATAAGCGATAATATATTCCAATAAATATTTACCAATATTCAAAGGTTTCCGAAAAAGTGCTGTTACTGCCCTAAACAAACACCAGATGAGTCTAAATTTCACAATGATGAGACATATTATGTCAATAAAAAGAGGAGGACAAAGGCGTATTGTCCTTTATCTAGAACATACAGTGGACTACTTCTTAAAATCAGTCGTTTGATACCTGTCACATGTCAGCAAGGACCGATGAGCTAGATAGATGACCATGTAATAGATCATGTTAATTTAAGAACCACCCCAGAAGAAATTTAATGACCCCAAAAGGTCATCATAATCAATTATGTTAGAATTAGACATCAAATATGGTCTAATGGGTACGCTTAAACAAACAAATTTTGCGAAAACGCGTCTGGCGAAATAACGCAGCTAATAATCTTCGGAGAAATGTTTGAAGGACTTCCTCATTACGTTCGACTTTCCGCTAGCAAGTTTGACTCATTATTCATCTATATTTCGAGTTTGTATCGAAAATTACTGAACTGCCTTAAACACTCATAATAAGTTTTAACTTCTGTTCAACAACCAATTTCAAAAAGGAGGTTCTCAATTCGACTGTATTTTTTCTATCCAAAGCTTTTTAAAAAGACTCCTGTTGGAACTTCCGAGAGCTACTTTCAAATCAATATAAACACTAAAAGACTTACCCCATTTTGATGACAATTCCATCCACCTGACATCTGAAACAAAAAAACAAATGTTATAAATAAACAATAATTTCTAATGTAATAGAAAACATTCCAGTTTGTTATGATTGATATATTCTAGTTTGTATGCAACAGGGAATTGCTCATATTTTGATCTAAAGTTAGCAGTACCTACCAGTAGATGGCGATGTACTGCCAATAACTAGATCGGTAATTGTCTCGATGAAGGGATCGTCGCTCGAATGAGCCAACTGACAAATGTTGGGGGTGACAACGCAGAGGGTGGGTGTAAGAAATCGCTGTTGTTTAATCAAAATAGGGTTAAATTAAAAATTTTGTGTAGGATAAAGAGGAAATAAAGGACATAGATGTTGGGTAAGGGTAGAAAAGGAGTTGGGCACTGATCTGATATTTAACCATGAGACAATAAAAATTTTCATTTTTAGCCTCCACCTCCCCTACCTCCACTTCACGACTCCCATTTTTTATCAATGAAGATGCAGATCTTGGACCTCCTCTAACTCTTCCCACTACCTCTGTTCTAGCGACGAGCCCATCATTTAGACAATCATTATTAGATCAATTTTTGCTTTATTAATAAAATTTTTAAAATAAAAGTATTTAGTACGCGACCCTCAAGCTATTTTTCTTTTTGATTTCAGGTTATTTGGAACAAGGTCTGCTAGTGACTAATCCTCGTAAGCTTCGCAAAAACTACTTTTCCAAGAAGAAATGGCGTTCGGACTTTCTGTCCCTTATTCCCACAGACTTGGCCTATTTCTGGCTGTCCCCGTACGATTGTTACGCGAAGGTGCCGTGTGCAGTGATAGTGAGATTGAACAGGCTTTTGAAATTGCCGCGCATGTGGGAGTGGTTCGAAAGGACAGAGACGAACACGAACTATCCGAATGTGTTCCGGATATGCAAAGTGGTGCTGGCCATTTTGGTGCTCATTCACTGGAATGCTTGTTTGTATTTTGCGATCAGTTACGCCATCGGTTTCGGTACCGACAATTGGGTTTACAATATAAACGGAACGGTGAATTCCACCCTTACAAGACAGTACATTTATAGCTTCTATTGGTCCACCTTGACGTTAACCACAATCGGAGAAACACCTGTGCCTGAAAACGATGCAGAATATCTGTTTGTGGTGGCCAACTTTTTAGCTGGGGTCCTAATATTCGCTACCATCGTTGGGAATATTGGATCGATGATTTCGAACATGAATTTGGCCAAGGTGGATTTTCAAAATAGGATGGACGGAGTTAAACAATATATGGCTTTTAGGTAAAGCATTTAAACTAAAGATGAACCGGATACGGTGGATTCGGTACTTTTTTTAGAATCCGGATAATGACTCCCTGTACAGGACGGTGCTGGGTAATTCTACCAGAGAAAAAATTAAAAACCAATACCAGCAATAATATAGGGTTGTTCGGAAAGTCATTTCGTTTTTTTTTTTGTGGAAATGAAAGACAGTTTTTGTATAATAAACAAATACTTTATTAAATTATATATTGACCGTTCTGGTCCAACACCTTTTGCCATCTTTCTGGTAGTAGCATAATTCCACGCTCATAAAATTTTTGGTCTTTGCTGGCAAAAAACTGATCGAGGAGGTTTTTGACCTCCTCATTTGAGGTGAAGGTTTTACCGTCTAAAAAATTTTGGAGTGACCGGAACAAATAATAATCCGATGGTGCCAGGTCTGGAGAATATGGTGGGTGTAGCATTGTATCCCATTCAAGCTGTAAAAGCTTTTGGCGAGTGACCAAACTTGTGTGAGGTCTCGCGTTGTCTTGGTGAAACACTACACCTTTCCTGTTGATTAGTTCTGACCTTTTCTGTTGAAGTGCATCATTCAGTTTGTCCAGCTGATGACAGTAGACTTCCGAATTAATCGTTGTGTTATCCGGTAAAAGCTCAAAAAAAACGATTCCTTTAAAATCCCACCAAACAGACAGCATCACCTTTTTTTGGTGAATATCGGCTTTGGAAATGGTTTGAGCCGGTTCATCTTTTTTGCTCCATGACCTCTTGCGTTTGACGTTGTTGTATACAACCCATTTTTCGTCCCCAGTGATGATGCGCTTCAAAAACGGATCATTTTCGTGACGTTTGAGAAGCGAATCGCAGACGTCAATGCGGCGACACAGATTTCTCTCTGTGAGAACATGGGGAACCCATACATCGAGCTTCGAGGATAATCCCAGGCCTTTCAAGTGGTCATAAACTGTTGAATTTGATAAATTTAACCTCAATCCGATCTCACGTGTTGTTATTCGCCGGTTCACATCAACTAATGCCTTTATCGCGTCTTTATCAGCTTCAACCGGCCTTCCCGAACGTGGTGCATCTTCGACATCAAAATTGCCGGATCGAAATTTAGCGAACCAGTTCTGGCACTGGCGTACTGTCAACACACCTTCTCCATACACATCAGTCAATTTCTTTCTGGCTTGAACAGCATTTTTACCCTTTCTGTAGTAAAACAGTAAGATATGTCGAAAATGCTGCTTATCGCTCTCCATATTTAAAAGGGCACCAACCAAAAACTACTGCGTAGAATTAATTGGAATTTTTCACACACAAGCCTTGCTATATGAGCTCTCAAAGCATATAAAAATTATACGGCTTAAATGTGAAGTTGGGTGCAAAAGAATACAATTAAATCCTCTGTCGGGAAAAAACGAAATGACTTTCCGAACAACCCTATAATTTAATTATTATAACAAAAAACCTACCTGATATCAATAAAAATTGGTAATTAAGATTGTATTAGGGTACGTATTTTGTCCTAATTTATATTATTTATTGATTACTACGCTAAATGATTTGTTACTTCGATATAGTACTTCTGTTTACTGTTTTTTCTGAACAGGAATACAGAAGTATGGACGAATTGTTACAATTTCTGACGCGGGTTATTATGTCAGGTTTTAATTAATGATAATTTATTGGTATGATTGTGTTACCTTACAAACCTCTAGTGTTTATAAACATCAAAGGCTCGGTTGAATGGTTTCAAATCAACCATCTCATTGAAAATCCATTAAACAAGGATTGAAATTTCATTGGATGCTTAAAGGACTTTTCGTAGTGATTTTGCCAGTATCCGCCAGTTATCCGGTGTTACCAAAATCACTATCCGGTACATCTCTAATTTAAACTGAAGATCATTGTAACTCAACCCAAAAATTTACTTTTCTTCACATGGATATTGTACCAAAATATTTCCCAAATTCATTAATCCAAGAGAGTTAGTAGTGTATTTATTCTTGTTTTGTGTTCATCAATTAAAGAAAAAGAATCTTTGTTTTACACCTATTTGTACTACTGGAGAAGAATTCACTTAATTAGTTTTTCAATCCGCTGTGAAATTGCTGTGCAATGACAAAATGAGAATTGCAAATTAGAACGAATTCTCTCTACGGTTGCAAGAACTAATCAACAGTTTTAATTGTAAAAGTATCGCAAAAGAAGTCTACTTAACAATCTCTGAGGGTTTAAGTATTTATGATAAGTAATTGTAATTTTCCAGAAAAGTTGGCAGGGATCTGGAGTCTCGCGTAATCAGATGGTTCGCCTACACTTGGGAAGAAAGCGGCGCCCTGGACGAGGAACGAGTTTTATCAGCACTTCCAGATAAACTAAAGGCTGAAATCGCGATTAAAGTTCATCTCGATACGCTTCGTAAAGTTCGCATATTTCAGGGATGCGAACCAGGACTTTTAGAGGCTCTCGTACTAAAATTAAAACTCCAGGTAGGCAGTTTCCATCATACTTTTCTCGCTTCAATGTCAACTACGGCTTTTTAACAGATTAAGTTTAAATTGATATAAATTATAAAACAGAAACGCATGAATTGTGATTTAACATTTCATCCGTGTAATTATTACTAATTGGTAAACAAAAGAAAAAAACTTACGTAAAAGGTTTTCTTTAATAGTAAACAAAAATACTGGTTTGCAAGGGAGGAAAAAGTAGGGAAAGAGCGAATATAAAAATAGGAGACGATAGAATAGAAGAAGTGACTGATTTTACGCATCTAGGAAGTCAAATAAGTCAGGACGGAAGGAGTGGTAGTGATATAAAGCAAAGGATAGCGCAAGATCGAGTCGCCTTCAATAAAAAAAAGTCACTTCTATGCTCGCGAACAAATAATTTAGAAATTCGAAAGATTGTTAAAGACGTATGTTTGGAGCGTGATACTGTACGGGTGCGAAACATAGACGGTGGGCACAGCGAAAAAGGAAAGGTTCGAAATGTGGTGTTACAGGCGAATGATGAGGATAACGTGGTAGAGAAGGCTAGAAATGAAGATGTATTAGAAAGAATAGGAGAACAGAGGACTCTATGGAAGTCAATAAGTAATAGGCAAGATATGTTGGTAGGGCACCTTCTCAGGCATGAAGGTCTAGTTAGAGACATATTAGAGGCAGAAACGGGAGTTAGGAGGGGTACAGGTAGACTTAGATTAGATTGCTGTTCTTAAATAGTTAAGGATGCTCTAGTTTTAGGGAAATGCAAAGATTAGCTCAGGATAGGAAAGAGTGGAGGTACGTGTTCAACCAGTTTTAGAAGTGACGACCTTATGAAGATGAATAGTATTTATTTATAGTGCAATGCGTAACTGTCCAGTTTCTATTTTAATTGAAATTAAAATACGTCTCCATAAGTATAATTTTCGTTATAATTTATTGTGTTCATGCTTAACGAAGCAATTTTAAGAAAAATTCTTAAAGAAATATTATTTGTTGAGATTTTCTGAAATGCATGTTACACTGTTACGAATCTTTTTAACCTTACAGTGTATGCAGCTTGTGTTGCGAGACCTTCAACGTTTATTTGAAAAGTTGAAAACTTCTGTCATTTGTCACTTCAACAAAACGGAAAAACGTGGAGTTTTTTCAACGCCCGAAAGTCGTATTCGGCTTTTATGAGATTTGTTAAAACCGCTTGTATACAAAAGTAACAGTATCCTCAACATTTTAAGCAATAAAATCAACATTAATAAATTGTCCACGTAACATTAACTACATTAAAACATTTATTTAATAATTATTTTTTGTGCCTACAGAAAATGCATTTTCCGAGAAAGTCGTAACTGGTACACATTTATCAATATGAAAGCTATTGATCTGGCCACAATGAGCTAAGTGAAATAACCACAATGCATTGTGTGTATATATCAATAAACAATTTCTACATTACGTTTCCTGTATTTACATTACAAGGTCTCTTCAAAAAGTATCACGAATTTTGTGTTTTATCCAAAATTATTTATTTATTCATAAATATCTATTTTGTCCCCTTCAAAGTAATCTCCATCAGATATTATACACTTGTGCTAGTGCCAACGTTTTTCCGAATCCTCGAAGAACTTCAAGAAATCATTTTTCGTGAGCTTGTTCAGCTCCACCTTCGATGCCGTCTTTATCTCCTCAATCGTAGCCTAGAGTCTCGTCGCTTTTTCATGGGCGTCTTCAGTTTTGGGGAACAAGAAAAAGTTACAGGCGGCCAGATCTGGGAAATACGGTTGTTTTTGGCCAAAAATTTGAGGAAGTCAAAAGTCAATTTTTGTTCTTCCACAATTCCGGATGTTTCTGGCGGGTTGCTTCGCGCAAATTACGAATAACTTGTAGATAATATTCCTTATTGACCGTTTGACCCTGTGGCAAGAACTCGATGCACCACGACCCCGCAATCGAAGAAAACTGTAAGCAAAACCTTCACATTCGATCTAACATGGGCAGCAGCTTCCACTGGGATGATTGAGCTTTGGTTTCCACGTGATAACGATAAGCCAATGATTTGTCACCAGTTATGACCATTTGGAGCAAATTTGTGTCATCGCGGACAATAGCTCCTTAGCAATGATAATGCGATGCTATTTGTGGTTGAAATTGAGCAATTTTAGTACGAATTTCGCGGCGACCGTCTCCTGCCTAAATCATTGGTAAAAATCGAATCGCAGGAGTCAATTGATATGTTTGGGTCTTCACCAGCTTCGGTGATTCGACGATTGTCCAATACTATTTTCTTCACTTCGTCAATGTTTTCGTCTGTTATTGATGTGCTCCGGCGTCCGGCACACTCTTCGTCGTTCACATCTTCTCGGCCCCTGACAACATTTTATACCACCAATTAACGTTGCTTCTGTCCAAGGTAGCTTCACCGTATGCCACAGTCCACATTCGAAATGCGTCGGCGTATTTAATTTTATTTTTCAGACAAAGTTTGATAGATTCTTTGATCCATTGTTTGGAATAAACAAAAATCGAAAACGAGCGAAGACGCATGCAAGCAAAGCAACAACCAAGATCAATTTTGCTGTTCACTACTTAATGGTCCTTACAAGCAAAAAAATGTTAAATGTTTCTAAATAGCGTTCAAGAAATTTCCTATAACTCCCCCGTCTAGATTAATTTGCGATCACATCATCGCCACATTTTCAACTAACTTGTCTAAAGTCTTTTAAAAACAACCGTTAAAGAAGATGATGGATGACCATCATAAGCGCAGCAATGTATTCTAAGCGGCGCGCTTGCTCCTATTTTGACATTTATTTTTTATTATTTAACTCGAGTTAGTTGCGGGAAGATTAACGACGAGCACAGCAGGGCATGATAAGCGGATCAACATGCAAAACTTTCAGTACTTAGAATGCACTAAATTGTTAATAAATTCGGGCATTACTCCAACGCAGTGATTCCTAACCTTTTTAATATTGTTGCCCCTGTGACCTATTAAGAAAACTGATTTTACCCTGACCTTAAAATGTTATCAATACAAACAACACAAACAAGTACAAATATCTTTAATAATCACAAATTGCACATCAGTCTTACAATTTCATATACCTAAACAATAAATTAAGTAAAAATAGTAGTGTAATGGTTGGTATAATTTTGCATTTTTCAAGTTTTTTGACGTGACAACGTCTTATAATTCGATGGAGCCGGCTGTACGCACAAAAAAACATGACTCATGCGGCGTTACCTCGCTCTGAGGCGTTCCATTTAAGGCTTGAAGTGCAAGCGAGAGCGCGGAACGAGCGACAAAGAGGCACAATCGGCCTCCGCGTTCGGCAGCGTTCGACATCTGTCTCTCTCCTACTTGAGTGAGCGAAGCGTCCGCGTGGACAGCTGCTATACAATAATACATTTCCATTTACCTCCTTCTCTATATCCATACAAAATATCTATCAAACAAATAAAATTAAAATTTTCTTTTGAAAAATGAAACCATTCCATCAGTATTTTCTTATGACGTTGTCACGTTCAACTATCGTCAGTAAACCGACTTTACAGACAACCGATTTTTTTTATGTTAGTTTTAATTTCGCTTAAAGCGCATCCTAAGTCATATTGCACATTTAGAAGGATTCTGGTCTTTGTTTTCAGTGTAACCAAAGTTGAAAAACCACTCTCACATCTATAGGTGATGGCAAAGGGTATTAGCATTTTTAAAGCTCTCTTAGCTAGAGCAGGATATTCGACACCAGCTTTTTGCCAAAATGAGCTAAGATCATAATTTTGAAAAAAGTAGTATTCTGGTGTAGTCTAAGATATTCTACTTTAGCCGCTACATCTTCTTTTTTAATAATGTTATCATCCGTAATAAATCGTCTTAATATCCAAGAACTAGACTGACGATTATCCATATCCGGAAAATATTGCTTCAGAGAGTTTATTGCTGCAGAAAACGCCGAACCACACAATTTCCGAATGTGATCTTGTTTTTTTTAATATTTACCAATAGTGCATACAGTTGTATAAACATCCACTCATCTATAATTTTATATTTTTACTATCTGGCTACGTATTTTAGGTCTTAATTATTAGGTTTTTTGTTACCCCCATAGAATAATTGATTTACCCCCGCGGGGGTAATTACCCCAGGTTCGGAATCACTGCTCTAACGTATTCGAAGTTCGAAGTCATCTACAGTATATCGTAATCTTTTAATATTTGCTGTTAACTATAATATTTCAAATGTTTGGCAAGAGCAGCAAATGATTTGAATCAAACAACAAATCCATTTCAATTAAAAAAATTTACTGGCGTCAAAAAGTGTTTCATGTAAATGATTTGACATTCAAATTATCTTAAAGATTGACGTTAAGGTTCGACCCAAGGTCGTTAAAGTTTCTGTCTAATGCTTTTCTCGATATAATGGTATTTAATAAAGATATTTCGGATATTTCATTGTTGAAAAACACGAACTAAAAAATTGAAGACAAATCAACTCCTATAATGATATTATCGATTGTAAAATTTTCAGTTCTTTCTATTGCTAGGGGCAAAAATATGCATTCCTATTTACAAAAAATGACTTGACCTGCAAATTGCCTTAGACGTCGAGATTTAGGCCCCCTCAAGGTCATAAAAGCTTTTGTACGAAGTTTTATCAAATATTGTGATTCAATAAATACATTTTGGATATTTGAATAATTTTAGTTTCTCAAAAATACAAACTGAAAAATTAAGAAAAAATCAACATCACTTATATCCTCGATTGTAGAATTTTCAGTTATTTTTATTGCTAGGCATGAATATGTGCATTCCCATTTAATGAAAATGGCTTCACCTGCTAATTATCATATAAGTCGAGTTTTAGGTCTCATTTAAGGTCATAAAAGCTCTGTCTAAAGCTTCCATCGGAATAATGAAATTCAGTAAAGATATTTGATTGCTCGTAACTTCTCAAAATTTAGACTGGAAAATTAAGAGCAAACAAACTTAAATGATATTTTTGACAGTGAAATTTTTCAGTTATTTCCATTGTTGTATTTCTATTCCCATTTAAAAGAAATGGCTTAACATACAAATGTCCTTGAAGGTAAGTTCAAGGCTTTCTGCAAGGTCAACAGCTGATTTTCCCTTCAAAAGCAACTTTTGTTTAAAACTTTTTCCAGAATAATGACATCTAATTAAGTTATTTTATTGTCTCAAGGTAAATGACTCACTTTGTTAATTATGTGAAGGTTTCCTTTTTTTATCAAAATATACATTACGTAGGAATCCTATTTATAAGTACAGTAGGAAGTTGACTTTCTGTAGAAAGTTTTCCTTTACCTTTTGTACATCTAAAAGTCGCAGAAAATTGTTGGAAATTAAAAATGAAGCTAATAAAATATGCAAGTAAAATAACTAAAGCCATATAATGGACAAGCAACACCGATAGAATCAAATAAACATTCGCTGCGTATAAATTCACCAAACAAATTCCATTAGAAACAGATCGAATAATTTTTCTTCCTTTTACATTTCAGGTCTTCTCCCCGAAGGACTACATCTGCAGAAAGGGGGACGTGGGCAAGGAGATGTATATAGTGAAACGTGGGCGCTTGCAGGTCGTCGCTGACGACGGGAAAACAGTTCTGGCGACACTCGGAGCAGGGTCAGTATTCGGTGAAGTGAGTGTCCTAGAAATCGCTGGAAATCGAACAGGAAATCGACGAACGGCTAATGTCAGATCACTCGGATATTCGGATTTGTTCTGTCTAGCCAAAGAAGACTTATGGCAAACTCTTGCCGACTACCCAGAGGTATGTCTATGCCATGCGAGTATACAACATAAGTGCCATTAATTATATACACTAAAAGCTCTTTATTCGCGGGGTATCAGTTCCATAAATATGCCGCGAATACAGAAACCGTGGGTATTGAATGGTAATTAGTATGAAATCATAGGGGATACATTCTAAAGTTCCAAAATAAAACCAATATGTATCAGAATAAAACCAATTTATTGAGAAATTCGCAATTAAAATAAATCGTTATTTAGGTTTATAAGCTTTAGGCAAGGGTTTAAAAAAATTAGTGCTTTCTTCTTGTTTTGAATTTTGAAATTAGTCCACTCGGTTACATCTTTTATAAAAGTCGCTCGCTACGTACCAACAGTCCATACTCAAAAGATGCCGTTATATTAAGGGGATTCAGTAGTTCATGCGCCGTAGAGTAAAAACATGCTTGTCGGTTCTAGATATCATGAGTTTAATATTTGGAACAGAGGTTTGAAATTTTGTAGTAAGATAGATAAAGCTTTGTTCTAAAGCCTGTCGAAGTCCATTTTTTAATTTTTTAATTTCTAGTGAAAATACGTGTCCTAGAAGAAGCATCAACTTTAAGCACTTGTAAAAGCTTTTAGTGACTATATTATTGAAAACCAAAAACGTACCGAGTTAGTGTGAACCTTTGTCTATTACCATACAAAAAATCATATATTTATCGCGCAGCGTTAAATCATAATGTTTATAATAGAAACCCATGTTTTCGGAAAAATTCACACTAGGCGCGAGCGGTCTATTGCGGTCAATCCCCTTAATAAATGCTTTTAATGACTATATAATTGAAAACCAAAAACGTACCGAGTTAGTGTGAACCTTTGTCTGTTACTATACAAAAAATCACATATTTATCGCGCAGCGTTAAATCATAATGTTTATAATAGAAACCCATGTTTTCGGAAAAATTCACACTAGGCGCGAGCGGTCTATTGCGGTCAATCCCCTTAATAAATGACACCGATTTTTTTTGTATCCGCGACTAATGAAATTTTTAGCCGCGAACACAGGAACTGTAATCAGTTAGTTGATCATTTGAATTGTTTCTACACATCATTAATTGAATTAAATTATCATCACGGAATAATTATTAAGTGCAAACCCATAAATGAGACCCTGGTTTTGGTATGACATTTTATTTTAGGCAAGGGCAAGTTTAATGGAAAGAGGTTGTCAACTTTTGCGTAAGGACGGCCTTCTGGACGAGGATGTGTTCAAAAGAGCTAAACAAGAACAAGAGTCTGTGGAGCAAGCCATGAAAAGACTGGAATCGACCGTGGAAACTTTACAAACGCGAGTTGCCCGGCTTTTGGCCGAGTTTACAGCCAGTCAGGCGAAACTTAAGCAACGGCTTACTAGGATAGAAATAAGGTAAATTTATGTTCTTTCGCCGTTATCATTAAAGGGTTATCAGTTCAAAGACGAGTTGAACACCCTGATCTGAACCAATCTTCACATTTTCCCAAAACTAGATCATCCCACATCCTATTTGCAAACAGTAATCTAAATTAGATTTTCACTGCCCTTATTTGCACCCGTTTCTTTTTCTAATGTCTTAGACTTAGATGTTGTCTTACCATTTTATCTTTTAGAATGGTCGCCTTTAGCGGGTTTTCATAAATAATCGCAGAACGCCGAATTTTATTAGTTTTTGTGACTACCTTTTCTTGCTAAATTAAATTATTTAAGGAATACTAACTTCATCATTAAAATAAAAATAATAATCGTATCGCTGGTAAAATAATTAACATCGTTTGGATCAAGTAAATTAGAATTCCCTAGTTGAATTTCTGAGATTGAAACCAGAAATAGCTTCTAACGAGTTTTGCGTAGGATTCCGTTGTAATACACCAAGCAAACCCTATTAAAACTGGAACAACGATCCTAGTTTTAAAGTTCGAAGCAATAAATCTATTCCTTTAAAGTAGAAAAAGGAAGCTAGCGAATTACTAACTATCTATCGAGTTACGGCAGTCTGTGCTATGTGGGCTTCCACTGATATCTGCTGCTAACTTGAAGTATTTGGTCGGCAGTTTTTCGAGTCTGCCTATGGCGTGCTGATGATGTTAAATAAGGTTGAAATCGCGTTCAATCGCTAAATTACTGACCAACAACTTTATCATACAGGGCATTTCTAAAATAATTAGCAAACTTTGGAGGGTGCTAAGTAGTTGCAATAGGGAATCGTACGGTTAAGAGACAAAAAAATTTCCTGGCCGGGAATTGACAACAGAGGAATTGAGTTAACAACTAAGCAGCTGCATCGATGAAGAATGTAAACAGTGACGGTTAATAAAGTAAATATCGCTACTATATGTACATAATAAAAAACAAAATTGAGTGCGGTGTTGCATTGTCGTATTTCCCCAAGTGATCCTGCCAGGGCCGGACTAGCTCTTGCCTGTGTTTTCAAATACTATTATGTCGAAAATGGTTAACTATAGTGCCATTCTAGAGAAGTGAATATTAGGAAGACAGTCAGACAAGAATGCACACTGTCACCGCTACTTTTTCATTTATACATCGAAGGCGCAATCAACATCATTAAAGACGGTACAACTGTAAGGATAGATATACAGGGGCAAAAGATTAGTATGCTTAGATTTGCAGATGATATAGCAGTATTAGTATCTAGCAAGAAGTTAGAAGTAGCTTTAAATAAAATGGTATTGACAAGAGTATTGTATGAAAATAAATAAAAGTAAAACGAAAATACTGGTATGCAAGGGAAGAAAAAGTAGGGAAAGAGCGAATATAAAGATGGGAGACGAAAGATTAAAAGAAGTGACTGATTTTAGGCATTTAGGAAGAGCAGTAGGGATATAAAGCAGAGGATAACGCACGGTCGAGTCGCCTTCAATAAAATGAAGTCACTTCTATGCTCGCGAACGATTAATTTAGAAATTCAAGAAAGATTGTTAAAGGTGTATGTTTGGAGCGCGACGCTGTACGGGTGCGAAGTATGCATGGTGGGCGTGACGAAACAGAAAAGATTAGAAGTGTTCGAAATGTGCTGTTACCAGCGAATGATGAGGATACCGTGGACAGAGAAGGTAAGAAATAAAGATGTATTAGAAAGTATAGGATAACGGAGGACTCTATGTAAGTCAATAAAAATAAGCGAGATAGGTTAGTAGAACACCTTGTCAGGCATGAAGGTTTAGTCAGGTACATATTAGAGGCAGTGCAGGTAGTCGTAGATTAGATTCCTGTTCGCAAATAGTTAGGTATGTGGGATGTTCTAGTATTAGGGAAATGCGAAGATTAGCTCAGGATAGGCAGCACTGGAGTTGGGTGTCCAACCAGCAGCGTTGCCAGACCTCCAGTTTTAGCAGGAGATCTCCTGCTTTTTTGAAAATTCTCCTGTTCTGTATTTTTTTCAAATCTCCCGCTTTTTAATTTTAACTTTCTTTTTCTTCACTAGAGGTAGTCTTTGCTATTATAGAGAGATATATAACCATATACATGTGTAACATATACTAAACACCACAGGCGATGCATGCGTATTTTATTTTAACAAGCTGAACTGAAATTTCTTTTCTGCATTAAAAGATCCGATATATATATTCATTAACACTCATTCAGATTTAACCATTAATTTTTGACAGGTAATTGCATTGTAGTCTCTTTGACAATATTCTAACCTTAAACATTAACAATACTATCAAATTTTATAATTGACCATACTTTCAAATGGTAATAGTTTGGATCTCCCGCTTTTGTTCTTACGCCTCCTGGTTTTTGGAGCTGCCACCTACAGTTTTTTATAAAATCTGTCTAGCAACACTGCCAACCAGTCTTAGGACTGACGATCTTATGATGATCATGAGTGTCCTTCACCCTTTACAAACTTGCTACTTATTTCAGAAATACCCTGCATATAAAAATGCTTTTTATTTGGTATGATGGTATGCTGTTTCTACGATTCAATTCAATAATTCCCAATTCTCTAATGGAATTATTTCCAGATAATTAATAGAAAAAAAAGTTCATAATTGAGATGAAGGTTTGGTGACAACTACTTCCAATTACTGTTTTGCATATCGTGAATCTTCAACGTAAACCAGACGTATAGTTGTTAATTAGTATTACTGGGACGTGTTTCAATTTGCAAAATTGGAAACCAGAATGAGTTTGATATGCAGATTTTGCTTGTTAATTAAAACTGATCGCAACCGTACTGAACAACTGTTTGGAAGAAGCATTATCATTAAAAAAAAATGGGTAGACAGTTTGCTTTTGTCAGACTTTCAAATTAAAAATTATTCACATTGTATAAAGCAACCAACCTTTGTTTTGCAGATATGCATTTAATTAATTTAACAGGCTAATAACAAGTCGCCCTATCTCCCAATTCAATGTATTCTACATTTATATAGTAAAAAATTAAAATTAGTATTAGCATCTAATAAAAAGTTACTTTATGTCTGAAAAATGGGCTATTCTATAGGTATACTGCTAATTGGAATAAAATAATTAAATCTCAACCGGTGAATTCCTCTGGAAACGGTGAACAAAGTTGAAGAGCTACTTAATCGATGCCTACCTATCTATATATATATAAATCGTCTAGAAAATATAAATTACGATGCCACGAGCAAACACAGACGTCAAACTTAGAATAATCCTCTCATTTTTTGTCTAAAATATGCTGAACATATTTTTACACGACGCCTACTTAAAAACTTAATTACACAAAGTTTAATTAAATCTGATCGTATGGGTTCAAAAGGTCACTAACTAGATGAATCAAATTGAAATACATCTGGATAGGGGTTGGAGAATTTCCACTTTCCCTTTCATTCTTGAAGTAGTTTAGAAAGTGCAGTTTACGACACTGAAATATTGCAATGCTGCCAACATAGACCAAATGGTTTAAGAGAATAAAGGTCATGGATGCCTATTATTCAACATAGTAGGCAACTGTCATAGGGGCTATCAAATAAAAGGATAGAGATGACCATGACAACACTGACTTAGTTTGGTGTTTATTTTCTATCTTAACCTTCGTATTCGTATTCGCCAGAAGGGAAAGTTGGTAACACAGCAAATGCTTGTCATTTTGCAAAGCCAACTTTAGAGGTGATGTCGTGAACTGCACGTCTGTCTTATTTATTTTAAAAACAAACTTGAAAGTTTTCCATTCATAAATCGGATGACTTGCACAATAAGAGCAATTTTGTCTATACCTACAATAAGAAACGATTGTATAAGTTGTAGTTATCAATTTCTTTCAATTGGTAAACGTATGATGGCCAAAATATTGGGGAAATACCTTGCAGACCGTGAAATATGCAAAACTTATCAGAGAATTATGCTGATGCTGCGTTCACACGAGAATTCGTGTGGCTTTCATCGATCGCCTCGGATGTTCTCGTGGGAACGCGGCATTATGTTCTGGTTCGTGCCCAACTTCACACATATCATAATCTGCCATCGTCTCAACTTGTTGCACAACGTGCTACTATGTTTATGTTCTATTGTTCTACTACTAGGTCCCAAAATAAGGATGTTGATGCTGTGTTCACACGAAAATTCGCATGACATTCATTAATTGCCTCGGACATTCTCGTAGGAACGCGGCATTACGTTCTGGTTCATGCCCAACTTCACATATATAATTTGCCAACGTCTCAACTTGTTGCACAATGTACTACTATGTTTATGTCCTATTGTTCTACTATTAGGTCCCAAAATAAGGATGCTGATGCTGTGTTCACACTAGAATTCGTATGACATTCATCAATTGTCTCGAACGTTCTCGTGGGAATGCGGCATTACGTTCTGGTTCATGCCCAACTTCACATATATCATAATCTGCCAATATCTCCACTTATTGCACAATGTACTACTATATTTATGTTCTATTGTTCTACTATTAGGTCCCATAATAAGGACGATGAAGCCCAAGACATTTTATCGGCCCCTTCCACGAGGAGGAGACTTCGTTCGTTGGACGTGAGAAGACGAAACTCAAATTTTGACGACATATCCCGTCACAAGACGATGTAGCAATGCCTTAAGAAAATATTTCTAGTGCATTGTTTATTTATCAGATTAACTGTCACTGTACATGTAAGTACTTAAAGCACAAATATACATTATTATTAATACTAATTTTAAGTGAGAGTGAAACAAATCGGACGGCTTTAACCAAAGTGAATTAAGCAACACCAGCGATAGATTATTAAATTTAATCGTATATCTATTGTCTAAAAGTAAATCACCGCTAAAATAATTAATTTTACAATTAGGCAATTTTTTGCAAAATTAATTTACAATAATAATATGCTTCGTTAAGTTAATTATAAAAAATGCAGTTGCAACCATTTTTTTGTATAAATAGATCAGTATTGAATAGGATTTGTTGATAAATGACGAAAGTGACCAAACCAAGATTAGAACCCAAGACCTACCCCGTTTTAACAACCGTGCGCTATAATCTTGGGTACGATCGCTATACATACAATTTATAGTGTCCGACCGAAACTGGTTTTTACGACCGAAACCGAAACCGAAACCGAAACCGAATTTCGGCAACGGTCTCACTTTCGACCGAAACCGAAACTTCCTTATAAGGATCATGTTTTGAGAGAAAAACAAAGAAAACGTTATTATAATCAGTTTTATTTTTTTATCTTTAAATCACATAGCTCTGCTGTCTTTGACATTTTCACTTATTGATAATCAAATCAAAATCAACATAACAACCCCTCATTTAAGGAAATACTTTAATTGCGCCTTAAAAATACTTTAAATTGGTGAGATGTTTATTTGAGTAAGTATAGTATACTTCGCTTGGATGGAATTTAACGCGCCGAATATGACCGAGCAGAGCGCGAAAACCCCCGAACGCAGTTTCGGTTTCGGTCGTAGTTTCGGCAGGTTTGCCGCCGAAACCGAAACTAAATCGAAACTCGTTTTTTTTGTCGAAACTCGACCGAAACCGAAACCGAAACCGAACTTTCTGTCGGACACTAATAATAATTTATATTGCTATTCAAATCGTTTTATTCATATATTTTTAAAACTACTGAGTACTGGCTTGGTTTTTTGGGTCCGAGGGCTCCTATTAAAGAGGAACTTCTCTATTTGTTTTTAAATTTATACCAAAATTAAAAGCATGTGTAGCAATCCTGTTAATAAATTCCTAGTTGGATGGTCAGAAAATGAAATTAACATGTTATCTTCATTTAATATTACTGCAACTGCATATTTAAATGCAAAAATTAAGAATGTAAAGGCTTGGCGTTATTTTTCCTTTGTGTACTACTAATTACTAATTGTACTTGAAAATAAACGAACCAAAAACGATAACGTCATAAGCGGTATCGCAAAACATATCTATCTTATAAATAATAATTAGAACAAAACCATTAATGTAACGTATTCAATGTACCAAAATATCAAAATGATTATTGCATTGTGGTACTACTAGTAGATATAGAGATTCAAGCCTTATATATGTGATAATAATTTTAATATTATTAAAGCAAGTAGAATTATTATACACCGTGTAAATATATATATAAATAATTATATATGTATATTATAAATGAATTGTACTTGTTAAGTTCATGTGTTGTTTATAATAGTAGGCAGCTAATATTTTTTAAACAAATGTTTTATTATTTAGTCAATAAAAATGTTAAATACCATCCTAATTAGTGTATTGTTATTAATTATTTATCAATTATAGACGTTGTAAAGAAAAATTTTAAGAGTAAATATAAATTTTATTTGGAAGTGTTAAGGTTTTCTCTGTTCCTCGGTGTGTTTTACGTTTAAAAAGTTCTACATTATAAGAAGGCAAAACGCCCAGAACTTAGCTTAAAACAGCTACCTAAGAATTGGGAAAAAAGGAAATAACCGAAGGTCACAACGAGAAGTAGTAAAGAATGACCAAGTAGCAATAATGTTTAGTAAATTAGACAAAAACAGCTGGAAGGAAATTAGATAAGCAAAATATCAGGGTCGGCTTTATAACTGCTTAGTTGATTTCCTAAATTTCTGAGAATGTTAAACTTTCTTTTAAAGTCCCATGCTGGCAACATACTCAAATTCTGCTTGTCTGTATTTAATTGGTGTAATGCTATTCCTTTTTTCTTATTTTGTGGCCGCTGCAATTCCTACCTGACATCTCTTTTCTATGTTTACGATATTCCCTACAACGTCTGTCATGAGTAAAAGTAGGCGTTCTGTCAACGACCGCTCTAGTCTAGTAAGTTGGAAGAAGAAAGTAAATGCTATAGTTCTATTGCAGACTATGCCAATTTTGAACGAGCCAACTATAGGTTGGTACGACATCTTTTCAAGCGTAAATGTCTAGTTAGAGACGTGTCGAATTCTATAAAGAATACCAAATTCTTAAAACTATAGTTAAGTCACCAAGACTATTTTCCTCGAATTGGACTAAAATATATGGACGATATTTTTGCGGGGTATTACCCAAGTCTTTTTTGTTAAACTACATTCATCTTTTTCTTCTGTTAAATTTACTACTGAAATGGAAAAGAATGGAAACCCACCATTTTTTAGATGTTTTGGTTATAAGAAATAAGAATTCTTTCGAATTCAATATCTATAGAAAACCTACCAATACTTCTAGATTTATAACCAGACTCTTATCATCACAGTCAACATAAAATGGTCAGTTTTAGTTGTCTAGTACGTACGTTACTTAGTTTTCCACTAAATAAGGATAGGTACTACAAGTAACTTTCTACAATATAATTGTAATATTACTGATAAAATAAAATATAAAAATTATATTTCAAAATCCTCAACTTTTCAAAAAGAAACCATCAAAACCAATTTTATTACTATACACGAGCCAATATTCAACCGAAGACTCGAGAAAATTTTTCGTAAACGAGATGCATATAATTCATGCCTGATCTCTCTTCAAACTCTTCTTAAGGAAAATCAATGATATATATGAAATTCCATTGTAAAGGTTCTGGTATGAAATATGTTGGGCAAACTAGGCGCTCAGTTTACATTAGGTTCAAAGAGCATTTAGCTCATACCAGGTTTGATAGAACTGAAAAATC